AATGCTTGATAAGAAATGTACTCATGAGGGGCTGGGAAGGTGGCTCAGTGGTAGAGCGCTTGCCTTGCATGCTGGAGGCCCTGGGTTCAATTCCTCAGCACCACATAAGCAAAAAGCAAAAAGCCGGAAGTGGCGCTGTGGCTCAAGTGGTAGAGTGCTAGCCTTGAGCTGAAGAGCTGAGGGACAGCATTCAGGCCCCAAGACCGGACCCAAAAAAAAATTAAAAAAAGAAAAGAAATGTACTCATGAGGGGCTGGGAAGGTGGCTCAGTGGTAGAGCGCTTGCCTTGCATGCTTGAGGCCCTGGGTTCAATTCCTCAGCACCACATAAGCGGAATAAACTGGAAGTGGTGCTTTGGCTCAAGTGGTAGGGAGCTAGCCTTGAGCAAAAGAGCTAAGGGACAGTGCTCAGGCCCAGAGTTCAGGCCCCATGACTGAACAAAAGAAAAAGAAAAAGAAGAAGAAATGTACTCGTTACCTTGCCCATGTAATTGTAACCCCTCTGTACAGTATTTTCACAATAAAAATAAAATTTAAAATTTAAAAAAGTAATACAAACACTTCCAACCAATGTTTTTTCTTCTAATAAATGGGCCCCACGTTATTTGTAAGCCATACATAGTTGGCAAAGATAAGACTTATTAAATCAGGTCATTAATTTGTCAACTAAGTAATGAATATTAATAATATTCCAAGAATTCTGCTAGATGCCAAAGCTAAAGTGATCAGCAATTATCAGACATAGTTCCACAAGCTTAAAGGATAATGACTCCAGGCAATGGTAGCTCTCCTCTGTAATCCTAGCTACTCAGGTGGCTGAGATCAGAGGACTGCAATTCAAAACCAGCCCGAGCAGGAAAGCCCATGAGACTCTTATCTGCAATTAACCTCCAGAAAACCAAAGCGGCCCTGTGGTCCAAGTGATAGAGCACTAGCCTTGAGCTGAAAAGCTCAGGGACAGTGCCTAGGCCAAGTTCAAGGCCCAGGACCAAGGGGCGGGGGGATGGGGGTGCCTGGCGCCAGTAGCTCATGCCTATAATCCTAGCTACTCAGGAGGCTAAAGATCTGAGGATCCCATTTCAAAGCCAGTCCAGGCAGGAAAGTCCCTGAGGCTCTTATCTCCAATAAACCACTAAAAAAAACAGAAGTGTCGCTGTGGCTCAAGCAGTGGAGCTCCTGCCTTGAGCTGAAGAGTGCAGGGACAGCACCCAAGCCCAGAGTTCAAGCCCCACAACCAGCCAAAAAAAAAGACAAGCCTGCACATGCCTATAATCTGACTACTTAGTAAACTGAATTACCAGATTTCCAATTCAAGGCAACCTGAGACCCTGTCTCAAAAAAAGAAAAAGAAAAAACAGATAATGAAAAATAATAAGCAAGTCAGTTATTTGAAGGGCATTAAAAGATATTTACTTACTCTCCAGGTCCTCCACAATAGCAGTAACACTGCTGGACATTGGTTTTATGGCCTGCATCCCATTCAAGGTCAGCCACACTATAAGGTAATGTCTGCTTCATGACTTGTAATGCTTTGGCATTTGGTCCTTTCTTAAGTGCACCACCCCTCTGTATTTTAGAGGGGAAAAAATTATTTTCAAGAGGGAAAGTGAAAACTTTAAATACTAATTTATAATTTCATAATTTAAAAATGTCTGACACTTCTGAAAGTTTAAGTTTCTATCAAATCACAAACTAATTGATAATCTACTTATTTTGTCTTCTTTCAAATCACTGCCAATTCCCATACCGCTATCAGAAAATAAACTCAAAGTTACTTCAAGATCATTAATCAAATAATTCTAACTACCATTGACTAACTGCTTAATCTGATTCAAATAGACTTTGTATTTCCAATTATTTCAATGATAATATCTTATATATCCCATTTATCCACCAAGATACCTTTGTTGTTGTTGCAAAAACACACTGCCGACAGAGCCATTTTTCATCTGAATCAATCACACTCGAGTCAATATGAGGTGTATGACACAACTGATGATACCCTTAATATCAAAAAAGAGCATAAAGCAAATTCTATTGTATTAATAAATAATAGGATTTCAAGAGGGCAATTCAGTATTGTTTCCTACATTACAACTAATAAACAGGATAATGACTATAAAAACAATCTGAAGCATTTTTAAGTCATAAATCTACATAAGGGACATTGAGTATGCAATAAAACTTTTCTGCAAGATTCAGAAAAATTAGTGTTTACCTTGGCCACACTTATCACATATAACCATTTCATTGGGAGCTTCTGAATACTCTTCTTGACATATTGTACAGACCATTTCCCCACTTCCAGTGGCTCCTGGAATATTTAAAACACATTCATGAAGATTCCACACAGGAATTGAAACCCTTTTGTACAGCTACTTATAATAAAAATTAACCTAGGGGCTGGGAATGTGGCTCAGTGGTAGAGTGCTTGCTTAGCATTCATGAAGCCTTGGGTTCCATTCCTCAGTACCACATAAACAGAAAAAGCCAGAGGTGGCGCTGTGGCTCAAGTGGTAGAATGCTAGCCTTGAGCAAAAGAAGCTCAGGTACTACACCCTGGCCCTAGGAATTGGGGGAAGTAGGGAAGCTAGGTGCCAAGGGCTCACATCTATAATCCTAGCTACTCAGCTAGGATTGTGATCTGAGGATCACAATTCAAAGCCAATTTGGGCAGAAAGGTCTTATCTCCAATTAAGCACTCAAAAACAAGAAGTAGAGCTTTGGCTAAAAGTGATAAAATGCTAACCTTGGGCAAAAAGAACCCAGGCCCTGAGTTCAAGCCCCATGACTGACAAAAAGACTAAAAGCAAAAGCAAAGAAACACAATGAATTTTTTTTTCTTTTCTTTTTTTTTGTTGACCCGGTCGTGGAGCCTGAACTCTGGGTCTAGGCACTGTCCCTCAACTCTTCAGTTCAAGGCTAGCGCTCTACCTCTTGAGCCACAGCGCCACTTCTGGCTTTTTTTACTTTTTGTTATGTGGTGCTGAGGAATCGAACCCAGGGCCTCATGCATGCAAGGCAAGTGCTCTACCACTGAGCCACCTTCCCATCCCACAATGAATTTCATATAAAACTTTTAGGATTAGTAGGTAGCTCAGAAGGATAATGTTTGTTAACTAGATTAAAATGTTTCACAACAATGTTTCACAAAATACAGTACACAACTAACTTAAGATACTTGTGTACCAAAGACAAATGCTGGCAGGGATATGGAGAAAGAGGAATCCTACTGCACTGCTGGTGGGAATATAAACTAATACAACCATTCTGGAGAGTAGTCTGGAGGTTCCTCAGAAAACTAAACATAGACTCCCTCCCCCGCCATGTAGACTCCCTCCCCCGCCATGACCCAGCCATACCAATCCTAGGCAGCTACCCTGAGCAACAAGAACCAGGATATAACAAGGACACATGCACCTCTATGTTCATTGCTGTACTGTTCACAATAGCAAGATATGGAAACAACCCAGATGCCCCACTATAGATGAATGGATCCATAAATTGTGGTACCTATATACAATGGAATATAATGCAGCCATTAGAAAGGACAAAATAATGGCATTCACAGGGAAATGGATGGAACTAGAATAAACCATGTTGAACAAAACAAGCCAAGATCAGAGAGGCAAAGGGCACATGGTCTCCCTGATATGTGGATGATAGATTCGAAACACAATGAGCTATGATAAAGTAAACAGGACTCAAGAAACAAAGGACTTCATTAATTTGTCGCACTTTTAGATGACTCCAGGTTTCTGACCTCACATATGGTACATATGTGCACATCTGAGGGAAGATAGGAGGAAGACACAGAATCAGAGGGAAACAGTTGAAAAAATACAAGATGGGCCCATAACCTGCACTGGACATTGATAAAAGTGAACTAAGCAACTCAAGGGCAGCAATGAGAGGGAGGGAATGAGAGAGAAAGAGGTAACAGCTTACATTAAGCAAAAGGAAAGAAATGTACCAATTACCCCATTTGGGAAAAAAAAAATAGTTGTAGTGTCAGTGTCAAAGTTTGTAGAGTTCATAAGCTTTTTAGCCCATGATACTGACAATTTGCCTTGTGAAGATTAAAATGTGTTTGCGACTTTAGCTAAGTATCACTATCTCACAATATTGTAAAAACTGTAAAATTTATGTAATCAATCTCATTAACAAAAAAGATGCTTGTCTACATTAATAATTTAGTTAATAATTTTATGGAAAGGGAATAATTTAAATTAGTTCCCAAAATAAGTGTAAGGGTGCACGTGTGCACGTGCACACGCGCGCACACACACACACACACTAGAATTTTACTAATACATCAAGAATATGTCATTTGCAAGGAAATGGAAAGACCTAGAAAAAATTAGGATAAGTGAAGTGAGTCGGGCTCAGAGAAACAAAGGATACATGCTTTCTCTCATCTATGGAAATTAGGTCTAAATTATAAGTGCCTATGTAAACATACACAGGAGCATATGCATATATACGCAAGTACATTAACTAAAAGTGTAGTATATCTAGGAGAATTCCAATCGTGTAACCTCTTGGAACAACTAACTTACAGTTTAACCAAATGAATATTGAGAAGCTAGAACATGCTGATGGGAGTACAGGGGTACAAATGTAGTCATCATATTCAATGTACATATATGAAAAAGGAACTGAGGGGATGAGTGAGACTGGGAGAGACTCAGAAGAATGATGGAAGGGGCAATACTAATTCAAGATGCATGGTACTCACAAACTGACATGTTGAATTGAAATTCCTTTATACAGCTAAAGGTAATTTTTTTTAATCATAACAAATATTATAAAATAGAAAAAAAATTTGTTCTCAGGCAGCATCCCCTATTATTTATTTATAATATTCACACTCTTGGAGTTAGGTTGGGGACTGGAGTTTGAGAGAACTGAGAAGACTAAAGCCACTCTGCAGAATACATATCTACCTCTGTGCATGAATTCACTCAAATTGTATCACCAATATGATCATGGAGTAGAAGATATGGAAATGATCTCTTTCTTAGAAGACTCAGTTCTTTTATAAGAGACTGGACACCAATTAGTTTACCTTTGAAATATAGAAATATGATGTAAAATGGGATCTAGAGAATGACAGTTTGAAGTCCATAAAGCCTCCAGGCGCAGGTGGCTCAGGCCTGTAATACTAGCTACTCAGGAGGCTGAGAACTGAGGATCTCCGTTCAAAGCCAGCCGGGGCAGAGCAGGAAAGTCCAGGAAAGTCCTTGAGACTCTTATCTCCAAAAAACCACTAGAAAACTGGAAGTAGTGTTGTGGCTCAAGTGGTAGAGTACTTGCCTTGAGCTGAAGAGCTGAGGGACAGCGCCCAAGCCCAGAGTTCAAGCCCCACAACTGACCAAAAAAAAAAAAAATTGAAGTCCATTGACCAAAAAAAAAAAAAATTGAAGTCCATAAAACCTTGGTCTCAAAAAAAAAAAAAGAAAGAAACAGCAAAGAGCAGGGATGGAAGCATGACTGACTAAAGGGAAAAGAGTAGCACCAAAATAAGCAAG